AAATTCCGTTCAAACTTAAATACAGAATACTGATAACAATCGAACTGATAAAGCTTAATAGAACGAATCGCATAAGGTGTTATCGAAACGTGTGGCAAAATGTTTATTCAAAACTTACGACACTAAAAATATTTGTCATAATTTTAAAAATTCGAGAATAACATACAGTAAACAAAATGCATAAACAATGTTTTTTATTCTATTTTGTTGTAATCATTTTAGCGTTTCATATAATTATAATTCCTGTCAGGTTACTCTTATTCTTGAATGTTGGTAATGTAGTCTACGCCTTACAAAAGTAGTGAATTCGCCGAAGAATTAAATGAACATTATTATTATTATTCAATTTCACATTTGTGCAATAAACAAAGAATCTAAGTACCAACAATCTAAACTACGACCAACTTACGTAAAATACTCAAACATTGGCATGTGAATATTTCTTTACCTTTCATTTAAAAAGTAACTAACTAAATCTGAAAGGCACTCAAGTTTAATAAGAATTTCGCGCAATTCTACACAAGGCCTATCTGCGTACAGCCGTCCCCGATTTTTAAATGAATGACTGACTACAGAGAAGGAAGTTGGTTAGTCAACAGCATCCATCGCCAACTCTTCCCATACTCTCTTCTGATCAAACCGTGGGATTCGACCATCGTTCTCATTGCACACCTAAAGGTCAATGAGTCACGAATAATAAATTCCCGAATTCACTGTCTGAGCACACTAACCACCTACAAAGTAGATTAAGAAACTTCTCCCTTTACTTTCTACTTACTTTCTTTTAATGAATTACAGTCACTATTTCCAACGTGATACAGAATGTAACGAATTTGTTGTTATGTATTTATTTCTTATGAACGATGTTTAGCTTGAGTTTATATTTAAAAACATGCATAGCTTGTAGTGTTAGATATGTATTGCGCAACTCCTACCTATTCTCCAAAGTTGTAGAAGATTCTCGAGAGTAAGAATCAGCAATATATGTGTGTATGTAAACGCTTTAACCAGTATTGTTACATAAGATTGAAGTTTCTAGAAAACGTTTCCACGCTATAAACATAACTAACGCGACGCGCCAAGAGAGTGTCTATTATTAGTTCGCTATAATCTGCATACTATAAACTCCGAAAGCTATAATTGTGATTATTAGAACGCTTATCAATCGGAAAACATAAGATATTCGACCAGGAATATTTATAAATTTCAAACATTACCAATCGTTTAACTTCAGTGGATTCTCATCGGACATTAGTATTTCTTATAAAAACATTACCAATTTCAGTGGTGTGTGGCCAAGGAGACAAAACTAGCTAGCTTCCCGGCGAATCGTACTTACATCAACCCGCTCATCGTAAACCCTCGATAAGATATCAAGGAAGTTCCAGACTAGAAAGAAAACTTTATATTGTTTGTAAGTTTGTGAAACTTTTGTTTATAAATTATTGTTTGTAGTAACTATTTTTAACAATTGTTATTGTAATTTGTACTGTTGTGTGTATATTAAAACGTATTTGTGTTAAAAACGAAAACGGTGTGTATCAATCTTGTTGACAAATATCGTAAATTGACTAATATAGCGGCATATATTTAATAACTAAATCCAAAGTACAATATAACTACTAAATTTAAATTATTTAACTCGGCTTCGGACTATTCGAAATTCTAATACGTAACAAAAATTATATACATAATATATGAAAAATTGGTTTCAAAGAGGAACAAATAATAATACCTCTGAAACAACTGTCGCATTATAATTACAGATAATTTATTAGTTTACATTTCAAAAATGTAGACTACAATAAAAAAGAAAACAAGAGACAATTACATCCTTGGTGAGAAATATGAAAAAAATGAAGTTTATCTGGAGATGGTGCTTCTGACTTCTGGCCCATATTTGTGTCCACGTAACAAACAGATTAACTTTACACTAGTAATTCGATTTCAAATCATTTATGTTGTTGACAGCAGTCAAACATAAATTAATGATTCCACACGTATGGAACTGAATTTCAGGTTTTCAGTTACTTTAATTAAATGTGGTTGTTAAATAAGTCTAAAAAGTGAAAACATATACAAAGCCATTAAATTCGTCTGAGTTTATCCATATAAGCAATGTAAGACATAAATAATCAATTTTCTTATACTCGAACTGTTAAGTTATGCTTTATGTCCCATCCTTTAACATTTCAATTACCAATATCCTAATACATTTTTAGAACATTCAAATTAAATTCAGTTGCATAGTTTGGCAACCTTACCTATATGTAGTTCTTTAATTATAACTATTTGACCACTAAACGAACCTCAATGAAATATTCTTAAAAATGCATAATAAATAAAGGTCATTTTAATGTAATTGAATTTATTTCCCACAGCATAGATACCTGAAGGTACATTTAAGTAAAAACAATGAATTAAAATTACTCCTTACGCTTATGACCAGCACTTCGATACATACGCATAAAATATAACATTTAAAACATCTTACATAAATGAAGACAAATACAATCACGTCATACTGCATGTTCATTTTATATCCCCAATCATGTTTCTATCTCTTCGTAAAAAAAGAAAAAAAATGTATTTGAAATGCCAATATTTTCATGTTGAATCTTTTTTTTTGTCGCCTTAATACCTGTTGTATTCCAAACCTGTTCAGAGTGTGCGTCATATAAAAATTTATGGGATCTTTCAGCAGTAACGAGAAATTCTCTTTGAAAAATAGCACCTCCTTTGGTGCCGTTTTCATACAGCAAGTAAAATGAAAATAAAGAGTTGGGTCATTTCCAAGCTAATGCACGCAGCATACACGCACACATACATGACAGGAAGAACTTTAACACAAGACTTTAGACTCTAGAGGAAGAACAAGTTTCCGTTCGGCTCTCTACCAACTATTTTGACACAATTTAGGGTTTGGTTGTTTGGAATTTTTTGGTGCAAAGCAAATAGGCTATCTGCGCCAATATTTAGGATTTTTTCATATACTAAATACAAACAGTATGAAACAACGACACCAAATGACTGCTTTTAAGATTAATACGTTATTTTAATGTTCAAATAAATGTCATTTTAATTACTATCTGTGATAGCTATGTCAAAAATTGTTTTTTTTTTACAAAAACATTACCAACTTCAACGGTGGAAAACAGCGTATATGGTCAAAGAGACAAAACTAGCTAGCTTCCCGGCGAATCGTACTTACATCAACCCGCTCATCGTAAACCCTCGATAATTTTCCGTAGAAATTCTTCCCGAGGAACTTCAGCGATACAATTCCTTTCTTAAATAAAACTAGTTTATTCTTCCTCATTACATCTTTGCAATACACAGAATTTCCACAGTTACTTTAACTTAAACACACGCTATAATTCACAACGATTTACACACTTTACTTACAGCTTGACTCGATTATCTGTCTCTATCTCTTCAGTATGCAATTATTCTCTGCCGTCATTTCTGGCCGGTCTTATATATACAAAATAGAGGGCAAACACTCGAGCCTTCAGGAACGTTCGAGATACTCATTACGTGTTACCACAGTCACGTGACTTCCGCTGTCGTAACAATATCAAGGAAGTTCCAGACTAGAAAGAAAACT